GAAGGCCATCTGAAGATACATGAAGTAAATTAACCTCTTTTTGAAAAAAATTCAATTTTTTTTTTTTTGTTACAAATGTTACTGAGAAACAGAAAACAGGGAATGTTTTCAGAGATCCCCAGCCTGCCAATACTGTTTTAAACAAGGGGTTCCCGGACTGCAGGAAACCACCATCCTGTTGCTTTTGTCCTTCTCTCGCACGGGAACTGAAGGTGTCCAGCCTGAACACACAACACAACCCACGACGGAGGAGGAACAGCCCATCGCCAAGGGAGAGCCATGATCCTACCCTTAAAACCAAATACCTTGTAGCCAGAATCACAGTCCTGTGTTTCTGATCACCGGGAGAGCTGCCCCGCTTGTGCACTGCCCCGCTTGCCCTTACAACCAGCGTGGCATTACCTTTATTTGCTTCCGGAAAGGTGCTTTTTAATTCCAGCACGGCAGCCGGAATTCCTCCTGTTAATCCATCTCCCCACACACGCTCCTCCAACGCGACGCCCACCCCCAAGGCAATCGCAGCCGGGTCGTACGGAGGGACCTGTAGCTCCTCTGTAGCTGCTCAGCTCTGCGTTCACTGCTGGAGCGTTATCTGTAGTGAACATGTGAAAACAAAAAAAACCCACAAAGCAGCGTTGCAACCGGTGTTTTGTTTTTGAGGTGAAGGAACAGGACACTGATGCTGTGCAGATGTTGCGATATAGCAGAGAGCATCTCTGCCTGCTGCAAAGGACTGGCGTTCGGCATTTCAGAGAATCATAGAATCATTAAGGTTGGAAAAGACCTCTAAGATCATTGAGTCCAACCGTCAACCCAACACCACCAGGCCCACTAAACCATGTCCCTAAGTGCCTCATCTACTCGTCTTTTAAATACCTCCAGGGATGGGGACTCCACCACTTCCCTGGGCAGCCTGTCCCAATGTTTAACCACTCTTTCAGTACAGAAATTTTTCCTCACGTCCAATCTAAACCTCCCCTGGCACAACTTGAGGCCATTTCCTCTCGTCCTATCGCTTGTTACTTGGGAGAAGAGACCGACCCCACCTCGCTACAACCTCCTTTCAGGTAGTTGTAGAGAGCAATGAGGTCTCCCCTCAGCCTCCTTTT